TTTTTTTTTTTTTTTTAGAAATTAAGGTCAGACGAACGAGTCATTGTCCTCTAAAGGTGACACGTCACCTGATGTAACGGGAATCGAAAACAGTAAAAAAAAAAATTACCTTTCACATGACGTGAGTGGATTGTTGAATAGTTGGTCCTTGAGTGCAATGGCTGACATTTATTATGATGAGAAAACCTTTTTTTCTCTTTCTTTTTTTCATACAAAACATGTTGTTCCCCAAAGGAACGTCAATAAATGCAGTTACCACCCGTCCCATTTAACATGTGGTGTTTTTGTTAACGTTCCCAGACGTCTCTAATTTACTAGTTGAACAATTGTTTATTGTGTGAGTGTGTGGGTCTGTATGCGTGTGGGTGTTTGTATATAAGAGAGAGAGAGAGAGAGAGAGAGAGAGAGAGAGAGAAAGAGAGAGAGAGAGAGAGAGAGAGAGAGAGAGAGAGAGATAGATAAAGAGAGAGAGAGAGAATAGAGAAATATAAATGGAGAGAGAGGGGAAGAAATTGATAGAGGGGCAGAGAAAGAGGGAGAGAGAGAGAAGTAAAGAGGGAGAAAGAGAGATATAAAGAGAGAGAGAGAGACCGAGGAAGTGAAAGAGAGAGAGAGATAGAGATAGAGAGAGAGAGAGAGAGAGAGAGAGAGAGAGAGAGAGTGTGTGTTGGTGAGACAGTAGGGGTGGGGGGAGGAAAATGAAATGTTAAAGGGGGATGAAATGTGTATGTGTAGTCTTCTATGTGAGTGATCCAGTCAGCAGCACAAGTGCATGTGTTAATCCGCGTGTCTTGTGAGAACGCGCATGTGTGTTGACGTGTTTGTTTGTTTTTAATAAATCATACGTCATTGAGGAGACGTGACAGCTACGTCTTTCGAAACGATACATTTGAAAAAAAAAATGATTTTTTGAATTTTAATTGTGTATTATTTTTCAGTTAGTTTTTTTTTTTTAAAAAAAGCCATTCATTTCTCTTATATTTTATTAAAACTTTAAATATTTTTTTTTTCCGACATATTTTGAAAAAAAAAATAAATAAAAAACTGGCGTTAGTGATGAGCCTTTGTTATAAATAAATCATATTACAAGACCTTCAAAAAATTTCACCTTTGTTTTAAAAAAAAAGAAAGAAACAAAGAAAACAAAAAATGATTTTTTGAATTTTAATTGTGTATTATTTTTCAGTTAGTTTTTTTTTTTAAAAAAAGCCATTCATTTCTCTTATATTTTATTAAAACTTTAAATATTTTTTTTTTCCGACATATTTTGAAAAAAAAAATAAATAAAAAGCTGGCGTTAGTGATGAGCCTGTGTTATAAATAAGTCATATTGCAAGACCTTCAATAAATTTCACCTTTGTTTTAAAAAAAAAGAAGGTAACAAAGACAACAAAACACCGCATAAAGAAAGCGTGTATAGCCTAGGGAGACCGGTTTCACAACACTATACATTTGGCACTTTATGTTCCGAAAATCGATCCTTTGATTATTTTATACTTATGTTTGAACACACATGTACCTGAGATTACATTGAAAGACAAACTAATTTCTAGCATTAATTTTTAACGAGGAAATGTCAGAATTTTCGGTGATGATTTTGAACATCATTAAAGACATTGATACAATGAAACATTCCGACAACTCCTGCGACGCCACTGGTGCCAAGCTGTATCATCCAATGATGTTCCCTTGGGTTATCCAGCGGCGTGGAGAGAGGTGATTTGCTGTTAGGTACCAGCTTATAATCCATGAAGTATAATCCCAGGCCATGTGGATTTCGTCCCCTGAAGCCCACTCCATCGTCACATTGTGACGGACGGATGCCAGCAAAAAGACAGCAACTTTGCGCTGATGTGTGGCTTACAAGTTGAAAACCAAGCAAAAATATTGAAGCATTGCTAAGGTAATTAGCCCTTTAATCAATATCATCATTACTATTTACAGTGTTATTTCCCTTAACTTAATTTAATCTGATGAATTCTGATAAAGAGAACACATATTTTAACAGGGTTGATGAGCATATCATTTTTGTTAGAGATCGAGGCCAATAGAGAGCACTGGAATTTCATGCGTCATAGACGCAGATTTAAAATAAACTGTGATGAAATATGTTTATAATAAACAATAATAATAAAGTTTATTTTTTTTTTTTAAAACATCACGCTTCATCCCCAAAGGCTCGAGGCGCGGTACAGAGTCCACCATATTAAAAGAGAAATGAAACAATCCATATTTTACCACATTAAAGCAGAAAACGCATCACTACAAATACTACAAACAAGCCAAACCGACTCACAGTCTTTCATCCCTTGCAACTTAACTATAAACAAGACAAGTCAATGTACATCTAGGAGATAATAGCTAGCTGAAAAAGATGGTTTATATTTCATTGTAAATTTAAAAAAAAATATTTTTTTTACAGATCGAGGCAAATATTGAGTAGCGGAATTTCCTGCCTCATATACGTGTGTGATTTCGTCTTTAGAATAAAAAAAAAATTGAGCAATAAAAGTATTGATCTTCTTATCAGTGTTGTAACATACCTACAATGTGTGATGTAGTGAGCTAGAAACACATTTAATATATTATTTTTAAACATAAACACTTTGTCATATTGCACTTTTCTTTAAGACAAAATACACACTTTTTTTTTGTTAGGTCCCATATTCAGGGTTTTTGTCAGGTCAGGCATCTCTCCGGGGGACACTGACCTCCCGGGGAAAGTCAAGTGCCCCCCTCCCCCAAGGGAAACATGTCTGAAAGAACCACTGCCCATATTTCCATTTTTCCACGTTCATGTGTCAGCGCACATTCAAGTTTTTAATCGTTGCCATGGACAGTTGTATCATCGTGGTGGGTAGGTGTGTCCCAGTTGTAGATAGCTATAATGTGTTGTGCATTACGATACATTAAGAGTTGTAGGAGATCATTAAAAAAAACCCACTATTTCTAATCACCTTATCTTCGGTTTAAAATAACTGCTCTCAAAGTGACAAAGAAACGGTCATTATAATAGCAAATGGTACTTTCAATATACTGCAGAGATGTTTGAGGAACGTAAATAATACTTTAAAAAGTTATATTCCTGATACATTTTGGAGAAACTTCATTTCAGGATTTCTTTTCTTCTTCTTCTTTTTTTTTTCATTTAAACGGCCTTTTACAACTTTAACAAATAAAATAAGTTATACACAATGCCTAAACTACTGTCTGTTATTTTGTCACAAATCAAAGGCTGCAACTTAAATCAATCCTGCATTTGTAAATAAATACATATTTTTTAAGCTTAGCAATTTGCATTAAATAATTACCTATATATAAATGCAAATGTTCCCACTAAATTACCGTCTGAGAAACACTGGCAGAGGCTTCCAGGTTTAATAGGGTGACACACTCGTTCCCTTATCAGTGAACGATTGCTAACCTGGTCTCCGAGACGCGCTGTAACTTTCAGTGTGTTGGTGTAAAGTACGTTATTGAAATGTTTCAAACACTTCCATCTTTGTATCCAACATAATGCTTTTTGTATACGATATCTACGTGTCAACGTATTTAAACTGATTTCAATTAATTCAAATGATTAAACATTTTGTTAACTTACTGAGTAATGTTCTGAAAAAGACAACATGATTTCGATAAGTGGTGTAGTATAATATCTGGATTTTTTTCAATAAAAATGTTTTTTTTACAATTTTTTTAAACGATTGACCAAATAGTTGTTATTAAAATAATGAGAAACACCGAAGTTCTGTATAGAATCGAGGGCAGCCAAAAAGTTAAGCGCACGATAATTATTTGCCTTCTTCTGGTGTTGGTAATTTTATTTTCAGTCGACTACCGTCTGAGTTATTTGTGGAAAGTTAAGGCGCCAGTGATGTTATTCGGTGGTGGTCATGTTTCCGACGACGACACCAACACGACGAAGCAAAATAGTGACCACTGGTTCGCTTCAAGGGTGACCAGCGTAAATGGAACCAAGCTCATCGAGCAAAGGAGTATTTCGGATGAAATAAACTCGATCGCCGATAAACATCATGTTGTGGACGTGAACTGTGCGTTAATGTTTGAAGATAACAAACAAGCCATGAGTGAAGCTGCGGCCCTGAAGGCGAAAACTAAAGAAATTTTGAGCGACGATTCCTACATCTCCGCCGCTGAAGACTGCGTGTCGTATCGCGCCACCAGAGGGTACGTCACGAACTCTCTAACACAGGAAGAAGAACGCTTCCCCATTGCGTACTCGATGGTCGTTTACAAGGATTCGGAGATGGTGGAGAGGCTACTGAGGTCCATCTACAGACCGCAGAACTCTTACTGCATTCACGTCGACATGAAGGCGTCTGAGAGCTTTCTTAAAGCCATGTCGGCGATCGTCCGATGTTTCGGTAACGTGTTTCTGAGTTCCAAACGGGTGAGCGTGAAGTGGGGCACGTTCTCCGTGCTCGAACCAGAGCTGGTGTGCATGAATGAACTGTGGCGTTACAAAAAGTGGAAGTATTTCATCAACCTCACCGGGCAGGAGTTTCCGCTGAAGACCAATTTTGAGCTGGTCAGGATACTGAAGGCTTACAACGGAGCCAATAACATCGAAGGCACGATACTCCAGTAGGTAAATTAACACATTACAGCAAGCTATTATCGATTTATTTTAACAATTTTATTAAAAATTTTGTAATGTTTATAAATGTTACTTTTATAGAAATGTAGGTGTGTCACATTCAGTTTCTAGATGTAACTTTTATAGAAATGTAGGCGTTTCCGACTCAGTATAGTTGCCTATCAACGTTAGCTAATAATGTACTGTCTTTCCTAAATGCCAGCATTGTGATGACTTGCCAGCACCACAATCGCCATCAACTCCATAAACTACTCTCTCTCTCTCTCTTGGCTAAGAGGCAGCACGTTCTATTGAACACTCCACAGTACTTTATTGTATATGCTAAATACATCACATGACTCCATGACATTAGAACGATGTTAGAGCAATTACAGTGACAATATGAAGAATCTATAGCTATGCACGCACACCACTTTGTTTAGTCATCAAAACAGTAAATCCATCAGAAAAAGTCCAACTTGTCAACCTGCTACAACAAAGTTATTCCTCCGTTCACTACCGCTTAACTTTAAAAAAAACAAACAAATGGAATTCCCCCTACGCTATAAAAATTAGTCCATTTTCCTCGTGGTTTCTGTTCTTTTTCTTCAAATTACTACACCGTTGTGCCGTGAGTATAAATATTAGTGTCGTGCGAAATATCCGTCTTCTATACATCATTAACATCGCCTTTTAAAATCAGGGTTTCTTTCAGCTACATCTCCGGGGGGGGGGGGGCACTTGTGTGACTACCCCCCCCCCCCCCCCCCCAAAAATATGTCCAACCATAAACCAACTGGCACTGCCCTCCCCCCTCCCAAAAAAAAAAGAGTCTCAAGTGCCGCCGATGCCATATTTATGAAAGAAACACTGGTTACAATAATAATATTATTTACTCAAACACGCAATTTCTAAAAAGGGAAAATCGATTAATTCTTACAGTATTTATATATTTCAATTAAATAATTATTTTTGTAAATCATAAAGAAATGGGCTTTATAAAAACAAATTTATGGACATAGGGACGAAGTGAGAAGCGAAACCATTGCTAGGGCATGGTGTTGAGAAGTTAATAAAGGTAATGAGACGATGGAATGGTAAAAAAAAAACATAGAAATGTTTCGCTTTTAACACAAAAACATATTTCTGTAAAAAAAAAATTACATTTCAATAATGTAGAACAGGCCTGCACAACATACGGCCCGCGGGCCACATGCGGCCCGCAAGCAACCACTTTGCGGCCCGCGAAGTGATGAAATATTATTTATCATTATTATTCTCTTAATAGCTCCCTCCCCCCCCCCTTTTCCCTACTGTCCCATTTTGTTTCGGCCCGCACAATTTTTTTGCAAGGTAGTACTGTCCGCCTTAAATGTTGATTTGCGCAGTCCTAATGTAGAAGAAATTATATGGAAAAATAGAAGAAAAATAAATCTCTAGCATTTAACAAAAAAAATGATTAACATGAAATCACCGACCAGCTCAACTAAGGCAAATATATCTGTCTGCTTACAATAATATTCACAAATTATTCACACGACTTTCCGTACTGATGCCACTTTCTGTAAGTCTCAAACATCTTTTTTTTTTTTTTTTTAAATGTTCACTTGTGGTTTACACATATTATTTTTTTGTTTCGGTCTGCTCGGAAAGAAGATCGAGGTGTTATTTGTATTTTCTTGAAATGTTCACAGCATAAGTCTCAAACATCTTTTTTTTTTTTTTTTAAATGTTCACTTGTGGTTTACACATATTATTTTTTTGTTTCGGTCTGCTCGGAAAGAAGATCGAGGTGTTATTTGTATTTTCTTGAAATGTTCACAGCGCCAACGAGGGGCGCTGGAAAAACACGACTCCACCGTTCGGTCTACGTCCAGTTAAAGGTTCAGTTCATATCACGGCCAGCAGGTAAATGTTCACTTCACGACCAGCCTGTAACATTTTTGATGTGTTGCCAATTTGTTATAATATTATGTTCACCTTTTTAGCAGCTGTATAAAACATATATAGTTCATAAATTTCGTGGATTGGGTGTCGTATTGTATGGTGTGTCGTATTGTAGGGTGTGTCTAATTGTATGATGTGTCGTATTGAATGATGTGTCGTATTGTATGGTGTATCGTATTGTAGGGTGTGTCTAAGTGTATGATGTGTCGTATGGTATTTTGTCTAATTGTATGATGTGTCGTATTGTATTGTGTGACGAGAATAATTTCAAATCCTAGCGTTCCATGTATTATTTTTCTTATTTTGTTTTTTATTATGTTTGCTTATTCGTCCAGAAATTTTGTAGATTTCATTCTTCACAATGCAACGTCCCAAGGTTTGCTCGAATGGGTTGAGAGGGTTGACATACCGGATGAAGCGTTCTTCTCTACTCTGAACTACAACCCACAGCTTGGGATCAAAGGAACGTTCAAAGGTAGGGACGTTGTTTAAAGTTCAAAGATTCAAATACATTTTTAATTTTTTTTGTTCTTCAATTGAAGTTCAAGCAAATGAATCTGATCGTGATGGATTGCTTGTGGACTACGGAGGATATTAATGATACAGAATTGGTTTGGACAGCCAAAAACATGAATAATAAAAGACCAGAGTTGACTGATAGTAAAATTACTGGAAACAAAACTGTAAAATTGATAATGTGTATACACTTTTGACTTATTTTTGCAGTGTTTTTTTTTTTTTTCATTTTAACATCAACATGAAAAAATAATAATAAATTTAAAAAAAAATAATAACAAATTTTGCACACAAATATTTTAAAGGCATATTCATGTAGTATGCTTCTCTTATAATTGTCTAAAGATTGCAATGATAGTATCTTTCCCTATAATTGTCTAGATAATACAATAATATTATGGTTCCATATAATAGGCTTAACATTACAATACTAGTATTGTTACCGTGCTTCTACAAGTGTTCCTTTTTGAAAAACGGCCAGGCAACCCTGATGACAACAGACATTTCTTGACCCGCTATAAAATCTGGGAAGGAAATGCCAACTGCGCTGGAAAATTTGTGAGAGAAGTCTGTATTCTCACAATAGGTAATTTATTTGTGTTTTTTTTTTTTTTTTAATTTTTTGACGGGTTGGGGAAGGGGGGGGGGGGCTGATACATACATAGTGTAATTTAAAAATATAAAACTATCCCCTCCTCCTGCCAGTCCCAAAGGGAAATAATAAATCTCAACACATTGTTAAAAATGCTTCTTAGCTGTGCAAGTCTAAGCCTGGTCTATAAGACGACGTCGCGTTAATGATTATTTTATTGTTCTTTTTTTTTTTTTTTTTTTTTTTTTTTTTTTTTTTTTTTTTTTTTTTTTTTTTTTTTTTTTTTTTTTTTTTTTTTTTTTTTGTGTCTGTTTAAATTTGATCTTTTAAAAGTGAATTCGGGGTTGAAATTAAGTCTTGAAATTAAGTCTTGAAATTAATTCAAATTAGCTAACAGAAATTGTTTAATTGTATTTATTTTTAATACAATATATTATGAATCAATTACTATGTAAATTTATACATTACTTTAAAAATGAACTCAAATGAAACAGAAATATTAGTTGTTGTTTTTTTTTTTTTTTTAATTTTTTATTTTTATCACTGACCACACACACAAAAAAAAAAAAAAAAAAAAAAAAAAATCCATTACGTGCATCACTGACAACACACACAAAAAAAAAAAAAAAAAAAAAAAAAAAAAAAAATTTTTTTTATTTTATAAAAAAAAAAAAAAAAAAAAAATTAAAAATTAAAAAATAAAAAAAAAAAATAAAAAAAAAAAAAAAAAAAAAAAAAAAAACCAACAATTGTTTTTATTTATTGATTCATGTTTGGAATGGACATTTTTAAATTTAAAATTAATAATAAAGTCGCAAAACACAATTACCACAAGACATGTGTACCCGAATTCAACGGAAAATATTTGATTAAAATTAAATAGATTACATTAAATTTAATTTGTAATATTTAACTTTTTTTTTTTTGCAGGTGACCTACCTCGGCTATCCCAGGCAAAGGAACTTTTTGCGAACAAATTTTTCATAAAGGAAGATCGCCTGGTCATCAGCTGCCTTGAGGAAAAATTGTTGAACACCACGAGAGATGAATACCTGGGCAATACACACTTCAATGACACGCTCTACAGAAATCTGGACTTTGTTTTGAATCAAGTGGCTTAGATGGGGTCGTTTTTTTTTCCCATTTAAAGAAAAAGGAAACCTGATTTTTTACAAGGACCGAAAATCGCTCCTAGGCATGCAGATTGGGCAGGCCAAACGATTTTTTCATGACACACGGAATACAAAAATTAATAAATTTTAAAAAATTAAACGATTCACACGAATTATTCTTATAATGTTGACTTGTAGGCTGTTGACATGCCGAGTGAAGTAGATCTCCTATTTATGCAGATTTTTAAACAAAAAATTCACCGACCCTTTAAGACTTAAATAAGTCATTGAAATAGATTTGCAGGTGCACTCTGGGACACTTCTCGTTCATCTTAAATTATACTTAACTCCATTGAAAAGAAGAAAAAAAAAAGAGGTTGTAATTTAAAAAAAAAATATCTAAGAAAGACAACCACAGAAGTTTGGTAAAATGTCTCCTTGAACCTGTACAAAAACTTAAGATATGAATTTCCATTAAGACTAGTGGTAACACATGCTATCATTTTCAACCGATTGATTATGGATTAAGCCACATGTTAAATATATTTTTGGGGTGTGGGGGAAGAAAAGAAATACATGGAAGGGCGTTGGAATGATAATAAACAATATGATACTCCTGATAATATATTTATCTTAGTACTCATTTGTAATTTAATGGGGAAAAAAAAGTTTATGCTTCATGCTAAATTGTCATGATCATTAATTCTACCTTACACATGTGTACGCACTTATAGCGATCTACTTTCCCACGTATTTTAGTATTTTCTCCTGTTGACATTGCGTCTTCCTCTTGTTTTCTTTTAAACTGAATAAAGTTTTTGGAGGGGGAAAAAAACATACTTTTTTTAAAAGCAAAATTCCTTAGTTTTGTTTGTGCAAGGTATGCTTTCTATTTTATACTTTATTTCATTCGTTTGTCACTGTTGTATTTCCATGAGTGAAATTGCATCGGTTGGAAACTTTTAAATATTGTGTCTATTTCAATGGTTTTCTTCGGCAATGATTTTAAAAAAGAAATTTAAAAAAACTTAACCAGACACATAGTAAAACCAAGTATTGCTTTAAATCTTTACCGTTTTAGAAACATTTACGGAAGAAATATTAGCACATAATTTCATCCGTGAATGCCGCAAGGGTAGATGGCATGTCGTGATTACCACACTTGGCTCATTGTTCTTCGTGAAGGTTTGCACAGGAGCGGTTTTCGTAAACGAAACACGTTTCTAAGCTGAAATTATTACTTGTAATCATTATACCCTAATGTCTTGGGCTCAGTGTTTCATCACACCCGCCACCCACATTTTTCCCACAGACCTTCTTCTTCTCCCTCGCCAACACGAATCCGAGAAGCCGGCACAAATCTGACAGAAACAGGGACGACAAGAACGCCAGCGCGATGAATGAACCGGAAATACCAATCACGTGACAAGATGGCCGGTCCTCCCACGTGCACTTCTTCGTACGCTTGTAGGCCAGGGTGTCCCGGATGTTGATCGCGATCAACTTGACGATCTCCATGGTGATCTTGTCAACTTCCAGTTTGGAGAGGTTGAACTTGGGGACCTTCATGTGAAGGCAGCGGGTTGTATTCAAACTTGGTGTGGTTGGAGGATGACCTACTTCTTGGTTTGTGGACGGAGTTAGCGTGGCTTTTTGTATGTGGTGGGGTGTTTCGTGCGCTTGCGTCGTGTTAAGTGATACGCTTGTGACGTAGTTGGATTCATTGGTGGTAACCTCGGACAGATTCTCAGTTGTCGTTTGTTCAAGCATTGCGAATGTCGTCTGCCCAAAAATTGGTTTTTTAGTGTTTTCCGTTGTGTCGAGGTCTTCGGTGGTCAGATACTCGGTGTTCAGAGACTCGGTGGTCAGAGACTCTGTGGTCAGAGACTCGGTGGTCAGAGACTCTGTGGTCAGAGACTCTGTGGTCAGAGACTCGGTTGTCAGAGACTCGGTGGTTGTAGCTTCCGGAAAGTTTGGAGGTGTAAATTTTTGCGATTCTTGTAAATGTATGTACTTTAGCGCCGGGAACAGAACCTAGAAATTTATGGAGAAATGAAATTGACGATATTTGTAAATAAAATATCAAATTTAAAGCATGGTTTTGCAAAAAGCGATATGAGTTTTTTATGTTATGCTTAAATAATTAGCTTTTGGGATTAGGAATAAGTTTTAACAGCTGTCTATGATATAACTAGACCCATGCGTGCGATTAACACAGCATGGAACAAAATTGATATGCGAATATATCTACATGCTATTACATTTAAGGTAAACTATTTTCAAAATTTAAATGTTAAGATGGCTCTTTAAAAAAAATAAAAAAATTGACCTATTGTCTCATGCTAATATATATAATGCGTATTCACTAGATTACTTTTTTTCGGTTGCCCTCTTTACAATTTTAACCCACCTTGTTGATGCTGTTGTTATGACTTATGTTACGACCATCAGAAGCACCAAGAGCGTGGCAGTACCCCATACCGTTGGTCAGTGTTTGAGAACCGTAAGCGGCGAATCGGGAACCAGTATCATTGAAGCCGATGTGATGCAGGCCATGCGCTAACTGCAAGGTGCAGCCAACTAGCGTAGTCCCTGAAGAAAGTGATACTGTTTATACTAAGAAGTGAATGAAAAACTTTGCTTGACATCAATGAAAGTTATTGTAGTACGCCAGACTCCAGACGATGTGTTTTTTTTAACATGAGCACATACCGCCGTCCAAGTGTAAAGAATTGGGTGAGATTAACGAGCATCGTGTGCAATAATAATTGTATAAAATAAATCAGTGGTCTATTCATATGAAATCTAAGTTCCTGTGGTTAATGTTCTTCTTGATACAATGCTATTGGAACTTGCCTTTCTCAATATTAATAATAAAAATAATAAAAGGATCATAGAAAATGTAATACATGTATGTTTTCTCAAAATAATATTTTGCTTTAGCGATGAAAAAAATCTGAGCCAGTACTTAATTAACAACACGTACTACAATGGGCCTCATTATTTAAAAGTTGTTTTCAAAATATACAAAAGTAAACATTTATCTTCTTTTTTTTTCTTCTTCTTTGTACAAAATTCTCTATACACAACGTATACAATGCAATTTCTGTTACATTCTTTTTGGAACGAGAATGACTTGAAATATTTTTAGTACTATATACGTTGTTAAGCAAAGCACTAGCACAAAAATATAATTGTATTTTATTTTTTGCTCACGATAAGTGTTTGCAGGTTATAGATTGTACATACTTTAGACTTTGTTTACCTTCAACCTGCGAACAGGCATCGATGCGATCAAATTCCCCGTCCAACGCCAAACTTGAAAGCAGCGCCCTCTCCAGAACGATGGCGATCGTTTCCCGCTCATACCGGATGTCGACGTCATACTGAGTTCGCCACAGGGGACCAGGTAAAAGTGACGTCACGCAGGTTCCGACTGAGGATGAGGTCATCTTGGTGACGTAGAACGGGTGGTAAGAATCGCTCGTCACGTGGTGAAATTTTGACGTCGGCAGCGTGATGTCTGTGAAGTGTCCAGCTTTAGCGATCGTTTTGTTCATCACGGGTGAACTGTAAATCTGGACACACAGGTTCAAACAAAAAAATACTTGAATATTGTATTAAGGTGGATTCTGTACATAGATAACATTTAGAACTGTTCTTCTTGCATATGTTTCCGCCTCTTTAATCATACGCTTTAAAATTGATATAAATTTAGATTTTTTTTTCCCATTCTGTCTACAATTGCTATTGATAGTATTTAATTCTACATGCAATATGTGTGGCAATTTGAGGTTTGAAGTGTAAGGCTGAGCATGCTTCTTTAAAGCTTATTTATGTGAGACGGCATATAAGAAATTATATCTGTCAGTTTCCCTTTTTTGTTTCCCCACCGTCTTTCCTTTGCTCATGTTTTGCATTTTATTATGCCTTCTAAGTTATTTGATAAAAAATAATAATAAATAAATGAATATTAGTGTCGAGCTCTAAACACTCAAGTTTATAAACTACTTTTTATCTCTTTGCTGTTTTCTGACTCGTCCTTCATGCTAAGGAAGTTAGTTAGTGAAGATGCCGCACGCGTTGTTCCACTATTTACACACACATACAAAATAATTAAAGATTCAATAGGCCTAATAATTTTGAAAACACTTTTATCAAAGAAATAATAAATGACTGAATACGTTCAAGCAGCGTGATGAAAATGGTAGAACAAGGTAAGTAGAAGTTTGAATCAAAAAGAACAGGGCAGTAAGATAGGATCGTTTCGACTAAGAGCCTTCCTCGGGCAGACCGGAACAAACGACATGTTGATTACCCTCAATCGCCATCGATAACATCAAACTTAGAGAAAAAAAAATTAACACTGTTTAATATTAACTTCATCGTGGAAACTTCCGTTAGCCTTACCGTTATATCGGTGTCATCGTAGAGTGCGAGCACACGAAAAGTCTCAACGGAAGCGGCCGATGAGGTGAGGGAGGGAAATGTGACGTAGTCATGGGTTAAACTGTCTACGGGTACCGCCATGTCGAGCGTGCTGCCTGCGGTTTGAGCCTTGGTCTGAGAAACGAAGGAACACGGCATTAGGAAATTTCACAATCACTATATAACAAAAACGAAATTGTATCTAAACTTCAAAAAAATGTGTTGTCTAATTAATTTATTTAAACTTCAAGACTGTCTCCCCCACCCCCCACCGCACACACACACACACACACACCCAAATGTGCACCAATGTGTCCTTTTGGACCGCTGGAGAATACATTTGATATATTTTATCATTCTAAATTAAAAAGATTTTCTGGGCTAAATTAATTATTTATGCAATAGTGTCAATTGAAGTTTTTAAGCTAATAAAACAATTTCGTTATTTTAAGTGTCAGAGCCACAACATTTCTTAGTCTCCCTGTGGTAAAGGGCGTGCTTGCATAGAAGTTATATATTAAATTAGATTGTCACCCATGGGCGCCCGCAGAAAGCTTTCTAGGGAAGAGGGGGCAAAAAAATCGATTAACTTTCCAGGGGGGGGGGGGGCAAAAATTAATTATAATTTAATATAGTTTTAATTTTCTTTATCGTATTTGTATTGTGAACGAACGGAAGATTGTCACCCATGGGCGCCCGCAGAAAGCTTTCTAGGGAAGAGGGGGCAAAAAAATCGATTAACTTTCCAGGGGGGGGGGGGCAAAAATTAATTATAATTTAATATAGTTTTAATTTACTGTAGCGTATTTGTATGGTGAACGAACGGACAGGACATCAGCATAGTTACTTTCTCTTTATTTTCTCTTTACTTTAATAAATTTGTTTCTATTTTTGTCTAAATTTTTTTATCCAATCAATCCAGGGGGGGGGGCAAGTGCCCCCCTTGCCCCCCACCCCTGCGGGCACCCATGTTGCCACCCTCTTGTTTCATTTCATTTCAAACAGATACACTCTCTGAACCAGTGTACTACTAGCTGGTGTTGCGTCATTTTAAACTTTTATTTACGTCACTTCGGATGAATTTTTTTTGAGCAGTAAAAAGTTGTCTTACACTCATATCTCAATAAATTTGATGTACACACTATCAAAGACACAGT